TTTTTAAAAATCCGAATGATGACACTTTACTTCTGCTTTACAAAAATGGTGTGATGAAAACAAACTGTCTCTAAATATTGAAAAATGTTAAGTGTTACGCTGTAATCGAAATCGTGTTGTAAGTGATCATGATTACAAACATTTTGATTATTAACATTATTAACGATTCTCTGAAAATGCTCGGCTTTATTAAACGGTAAACATCTAAATTTAAATTAACAAAATCCATAATTACACTGTATAACTCTCTGGTGAAATCTAAACTCATGTATTGTTCTCCTATCTGATCTCCGTTTACCGAAAATTATAAACATCGCATCGAGACAGTCCAACGTAACCCCGATAGCCACTCGTGATGATCATGAATGGATCAGACGATTTTGAAAACAAATTTGGATCAAATTTGAAACATATGTTCTACATTCAATGAATAAAAATATATACTAGTAAATAAATGATCAAATTTAGGAATTAAAAATCAGTAAACCAGTTGTTGAATTTTTGCGACAAACTATTTACGTAAAATAGCTGTCATATTTACTAAATTTCTTTCTAAATAAGTATGAGCGCAATATAACGTCATATGAACGATATTTCATGTATTCATACATTTACAAAAATTATCTGTAATTTTATGACGACATTACATGAAGAAAAGTTTATGCAAAAAAATGAATTATTACGATTATACACAAAATTGCATAAACATGCCATAATATTTATGAAGAAAAAAAAGTGATTTTAATTATTAAATCTTTACACCAAATTTACATCACATAAATTGTAAATTTGTTGTAAACTTTTGGTAAATTAAATAAAATAAAACGTCTGACTTGAACAACCGACAGACAGACCGCCGGGTTAATTTCTCGAATTTACAGACATAAANGAATAACAACATAACTGAACTGTCCAAAGAACGGTGGTACCAGTTGTCGGTGTTGCACAGCACTTGCATTTTAATTTCGGCGATATTTTCATAATATATGTAATATGCATATGCAACCAAGCATATATTAAAATTTGTGTATGTGCAACAACTATACACATTTAACACCATCAATTTGTTTAGGCTGTTTATTTCTAACTGAATACTTCAAAATTAGCAATCATTAATTAAATAACTGAGGGAATGTTTCCTCAAAAATGGAAAATTAGCTACGTTACTCCGGTTTTCAAATCCGGTGGTAAAACATGTGCTAAAAACTATCGCCCTATAAGTATACTTTGTAATGTGAGCAGTCTTTGAAACTTTTGTTTTTGATTTTTTGAAACCTCAACTTGATGACATTATTATTCCGCAACAACATGGTTTTTTTGGTGGTCGTTCCACCTTAACTAATTGAACTCTTTTTTCGGATAGTTTCCTAAACTCTCTCGATAATGGTAACCAAATAGATGTAATTTATACTGATTTTAGCAAAGCATTTGATAGAGTGAATATTGACATTTTGGTTGATAAATTATCATCATACAATTTGCAAGGTATATCACCAAGTTGGTTTAGAAGTTACTTAACTGACAGAACCCAAATCGTTAAATATAAAATAAGTAAATCGCGTATTATTAAAGTAACTTCTGGTGTGCCTCAAGGCTCCATTATTGGTCCCTTTTGTTTTAACATTTTCATTAACGATATTGGCTCTGCTTTTAAGCATTCATCTTTTCTTTATACGACGATGACTGTAAATTTTGGCGCGTTATTAAAAATCCGAATGATCACACTTTACTTCAATCTGATCTTTCTGCTTTACAAAAATGGTGTGATGAAAACAAGCTGTCTCTAAATATTGAAAAATGGAAAGTGTTACGCTGTAATCGAAATCGTGTTGTAAGTGATCATGATTATAAATTACTTGATCATAGTATTACTGAAACATCTTGTATTAAAGATCTAGGGATTTTGATTGATTCAAAACTAAGCTTCGACAAACATTTTGATTATATTATTAACGATTCTCTAAAAATGCTCGGCTTTATTAAACGGCAAACATCTAAATTTAAATTAACAAAATCTACAATTACACTGTATAACTCTTTGGTGAAATCTAAACTCATGTATTGTTCTCCTATCTGGTCTCCGTTTACCGAAAATTAAAAACATCGCATCTAAACAGTCCAACATAAGTTTCTCTCATATCTAGCTTTTAAATGCAAAGTACAAAACCCAATGTTAAGCCATAATTATCGTGAGATCGCATCTCTTGTCAAGATACCCTCTCTTGAATCTGCACGTACTTTTCAAGATCTATTATTCATTTATAAAATCTTTCCTGGTCAAATCAAATGCTAAGTTTATTAGATACGATAGATTTTATAACACAAGAAATGATGTACTTTTTATAGAACCGTTTTGTAGAACTAACTATTTATATAACTCTGTAATTCCAAGACTGACTAGACTAGCGAACCAATTTTTTAATGATGATAAATTTCAAATGAACATCTGTGCAATTCGAAATTATCTTCAAACAGTTTTGCGATATGATTAATGAGATCCTAGTATGTAATACGGAATTTTTACTTATCAATATGCTAATGTATTCATTATTATATTTTTAGGCCGTATGCGCCTGTTGTATCTACTTTAAATAAATAAATAAATAAATAAATAAAACTTCATCACTTCTCCCGCCGCTTGCCCCAAAATCTGCCTGAGTGGCCATATCGTATTAACCTCAACAATCTAAGCTGAAATCCTAATGCCAACCCAAAATGAGCCAATAGACGATCAAACTACTTCAAAACACAACTCCTACGATGTCCAAGAGAAATGGAATTCCTTCCATTACACCGTAAGGTCTCTTCTGTTGACCCATTCTACAGACCACACACCAAAACTTGATGAGAATAAACCTTCGATTAGCCACTAAATCAAGAAAATTTCTAAAAGGAAGCTGAGGGCTTAGAAAAATACAAAACCACAAAAAAGCCGAGTGACTGCAACGTATATAGAGCAAAACAATTTTTTGTTTTTTAGCTTTTTGCTTGACAAAGTGGCGCCCAAGTTTGGAATTTTAGCATTCAAAATTTTGTTTTCTTGTTTACGAAAAAATAAGTATTTATCTCACAACTGTTCTTGTTCATTCTGTGACAGACGCAGTCTATAACAGGCATCCCCAAAACCAAGTAGGAGAAGTATATTACCAAGCTACCGCAGCGGAGGCCTTCACAGCAGTTTCATAAACCTACATTGTGGAACCAGAACTTGCGATCGATGAACTGAATACTCCTGATGTCAACTCCAATGCTGGTGATATCATTCTTTATGTCTCCCTTTACAAACATAGATATATGTCGCGCAAGTCCTCAGTAGTCTGGATTCTGATTCCTCCCCTGGTTCTGATGAGATTCCTGAGAGACTGTGCAAAACACAGCTAGAGCCACTAAACTACCGTCCAATTAGCCTGGGCAAAGTCATGGATCGCCTCATTGTCCGCAAGATCCATGACTTCATCTCGGCAAAGAACATCATCCCACCTCAGAAACTTGGCTTCAAGTCTGGCCTCTTGACGACAACAAACCTGATGACATTTATGGACACCCGGACGAGAACTCAGGACGTTGGTGGATCAATGGACGTGAAAACATAGACAAGCCCCCCCCCCCCTTGATACCCATTGACAAAAATGTTACGAGTCAGGGTTAGTGATTCCATCTTTACACCAAAGTCCCACAAGAGTCTGACCTTAGCCCTTTACTGTTCATTCGTTACATCAGCAATCTGGGGAATGACCTGGTCTCAAAGTGGAACTGCTTTGCCGACAACACCAAGCTACAAAAGTTCCGGTGCAGTGTCACAACCAACTCCAAGTTGATATTCACTCGATAGCAAACTGGTGGAAGAAATGGATTATCCCGCTGAATGAGTCTAAGTGCAGTCTTTCACCTTGGGAGAAAACCCCCCCCCCTGTTATGTAACCGACGGTGGTCCTTACAGGATTCGATGTAATCATGACAGAAATCTTGAAGTGAGGCCAACAAATGATATCTGAATCAAAAAGGCAAACAGAGGACTACGTTTATATTGATGAGTTTTCGGCAAAGTAAACTCCCAACTGAATAAAACCATCCTGATCTGTAGTGAAATTAGCATCCGTGGTATGGTCTCCCTACTATAAAAATGATGTCACCCATCTTAAGAGGCCCCAGAGGAAAATCTCCAAGGTCCCTGTAATTTTGAATTGTAACCCTCGAACAATGAAGGACTTGCTCTCATCTTATCAAGATGTACAAAGTCACCAACTACAAGATGCTCCTAAAGTTTGAAAAATCCATCCCATCTACTGTGCAAAACTACAAGCTAAGAAGTCATACGATAACACTGCGTAGGGCGGGAACCCGCACCAACGTGTGTACTCATTTCCTGATAAATAGGGTAGGAAACACTTGAAATTGGCTTCCACTAGATTGCATTGAATCTTCAAACCAGGAAATTTTCAAATAACGACTTGATCGATATTTGCTAACTCTGTGATATTACATGTCGGATATTCTATAATCTTTGATATTGTTTTTTATGAAATTTTTATAATTATGTTGATCTGAACAGGTACAATTTATAATGTATGTGATATATATGCATAAACAGCTCCATACCTGCCATCATTTAAAAAATAAATAAATATTTATCAGTGGTAATAACCCTGGTAGATTACGACTGATATCTACTTAATTAAACCATACAACTTCCTACCCAAACAAAAGAAGGTAATAAATAACACCTTAACTGCACATGCAAACACCAATTTTTTTTTATGTTTGCATCTATAATCACCCTATTCTCACAATCTCATTAGTTATACTTAAATACCCACCAAAAACGTGGTTTTGTTTGGATTCGTATTTTGGGTGAATGTTTTGTCTATAAGTTGAATTAGATTTTTGGGATATTTAAATGGCAATTTCACAACAGCTATCTTTAATTAATGTGGTTAATAACTAATTCATTGTCATAAAATTTTCTATTAACAACTAGAAAAAACGTTTTCTACACTTACTTCGAGTACTGCTACATCCTGAATTGAAAAAGGTCACAGTGAAATAACCAAGCAACTATGCATGCCATTGTAGTTTTAGTATATGTATAAAATATTTAAAAGGCCACTTTTAAAAGTCACTCCACAAAACACAAACAAGAAGTAAGACGAAATACGACTACACGATTCATGTCCTGGATACTTAGATACTGAGATCATCCCCAAATACATATTGCACACACAAGACGACAAACTATTTACAATATGTTATGATCGTCATGGCCAATCTTTGTGAATCCGAGCATTACCACTTACCACCATATTTGAATTCATTTTGATTGTCTCTCTGCTCTATCTATACTCTATTTACTGATTTAAAATAAAATATGAAAAGCTTCTAAAGTTCGACTACAAAAATAACCGTATGTATGACGGGTTGTCTAACAAGTTGTAATATAATTTAAAAAGTAATTATGTGAACAAATTTTTATGTAAATAGATGATAGACACGGTATTAATTTTAGTAATATCCTGTTACTCTTGATGAAGGTATAATTATACTGAAATAAATGTAGAGTTGACAAAAATTCTATTTTTCAGACATTTAAATGTTTTTTCTTATGATTTTTAAAGTATGACAAAGTTCGTTTTAACTGCTCTTCTGCTGTTTAGAAACTACTTCTGGCTTATCTTCACTTCAAAAAAACATTTATAACCTATATTTTTGCAATATTAAAAAATAATTATTCAAATATGGTTTATAACTGTGAGATGTAAAATTGGCACAATGAACATACAAGATCAATATTTTATCGTAGTAGGAACTGTTCGAGGAGTTCTAGGAAGTAAACACCTAATCGCCCTAGTGGCAAGTGGCGTTCTTCAAAATTAATGTTCTTTTACTTTTTAGGTACAAATTGTAAGAAGGGACAAGCTATAAAATATGAATTGAATACCGATGATAACGTCTCCGAGATAACGGCTTTGCATTGGGGTAGAACAGAAAATGAAATAATAATAGGCTATAAAGAAGGAACATTGAAACTATATAACTGTCAGCTTAACAAATACACAAAAACTGTAGATATTTTGAAAGGAAAAGGAGCTGTAGTAGGTGTGGCACCCTTAGGTAGAGACATTATCGTAGGAAGATACAATGGTATTATAAATATTTGGTCAAAAACAGATAATCACAGTATTCCTTTAAATTTACAAGAAGGGAGCACTTTAGAATGCATGACACTAAATGAAAGTAGAATAAATGTTGTTGGCACAGGAGGTAACAAAAATGATTTCAAATTGTGGGATATTGAAACTAAACAGTGCATTTTTAAAGCAAAATCTGTAAGTCAATTCATCATTATCCCTTTTATTGATTATACAAATCAGTTGTTTCAGTTAGCACATGACAATCTCAATTTACCAATCCCTACATCTATAAGAAGTATCTGCTATTTTCCTACAAATGAAAAACTTTCAGCTTGTGCCACAAAAGAGGGATATGTGTTGTTATATGATGAAAGAGCACAAAGACGACCTGTATTGAAATTTATTGAACCTAAAGCAAGCTACACTGTTATTGCAAATACATTCAAAGACAGGTATAACATCTATTTAACTATTTCTCAGTTAGTTACTTCATTTAAGTAATTTCAGACAATGCCTTGTGGGAACTACAAAAGGCTATTTACAGCTCATTGATTTAAAGTTGCCTACAAGATGTCTGAAAACATTCAAATCATTTACAGGGTCTGTTACTGACATTGCTTATGATCCTGGTAAGTCTATTGTAGCAACTACAAGTTTAGATCGGTTTCTAAGGATTCATGATTTAGAGACAAAGGAATTGCTACACAAGGTATATGTTTAATTTTTGACCAACCTGCATTATTCTAAAATGTTTTGTTTTATGGTAGGAGTATTTAAAGCAAAGCCTTACAAAACTTATACTAAGGCCCAAAATCAAAGAAGAAGCTGATGAAAATATTAATACACTCATAGTTAATGAAAACAATGAAGAAAATGTAACAGAAAATGTTGAAGATGTGGATGAAGAATATGAAGATATATTTAGGAATATGGAAACAATTACTGAGAATGTTAAGCGGAAAAATACTGAAAAAATAAAAAAGAAGAAACTAAAAACGTCATAATTTATGATTAAAAATAACCTTTTAAATCATTAATTATCTTAAATAAACTTGTTTTATATGTTATTAAGGTACAATTAATAATAAATGAAAAATATTAATTTTATTCATTTTTTTTATATCAAATGTGCCTAAAAGAATTTAGTAAGTGACCAAGGGGAAATTGTATAATATTTAAGGAGAAGAATGTTGTATCATTTTTACTTGATAACTTCTTCAAATAAGCAACATTGTACAATGATTCACATTATAATATGTTTACTTTTTATATATTCACCATTTAATATACAGCCACTATAATAAATCATAAATGTAGTTAATGGATGTTAAATCGGTATGAAGTTTTTTTAGGCTTACACGGACATTAAACAACAAATATGATCTGTATACAACAGCAGATATTTTAAGTAAAAATGAAATTATTAGATTCTTATTACGATACCACTTTAAAAATAAAAACTTTGCAAAAGAAAATAACAATTTAAAGAGCAGCAGCTCCAGAAATAATTTCGATAAGTTCACCGGTAATGACGGCCTGTCTGGTACGATTAAATGTCAATGTAAGTTTTTCAATCATTTCTCCTGCATTCTTACTGGCGTTGTCCATGGCAGTCATACGAGACGATTGTTCGCTGCAAGCACCTTCCTTGAGGGCATAATACAAAAGGGATGCCAATGAGAACTCCAAGTAGCTTTGTATTACTTCATTATCCAAAGAATCATATATAGACAATTTTGGAGCACCCTGAAAAAATAAATCGTTATTAACACTGCTATGTTTTTTATAATTACAACTTACTGATATAGTAGCTAAACTGAAAACAGGCATATCAGTTGTCTGGTAAGAGACAACTGACTTGAAACGATTGTAGATAATTTTTCCAGAAGAAAATTCATACCCAGAAGTTAAGATGGCATTTGCCAGCTTAACGGCATCTCCAAATGAAGGAGGCAATCGACCCACCTCATTACATGCTAATATAATGTTCTTGGGGAAAAATCTTTGTAAAATAGCACGTGATTTGTCTCCAACACAAATCACTTTAACATTTTCTGCTACACCAGGTTGATTTAATTCGTTTCTGATTTGACGAACAACACTAGTATGCACAGCCCCACATAAACCTTGAAAAATGATAGTGTAAAAAAATTATATACAAAGAACTTGAATGTGTTCACCTCTATCTGAAGTCATAGCAATAATAAGACGTTTCGGGGAGTCCTCAGGAGGTTGGACTTCTGCCTTCTCATAAAACTGCTTTGAGCCTTCACCCAAAGGACGTGCCTGTTTAAGTTCACGTTCTGCACGAGCGTATTTAGCTGCAGACACCATCTTCATTGACTGTGTAATCTTCTGAATGTTTTTAACAGACTTTAGTCGAATTGATATGGCCTTTAAGGTGGCCATACCTCTCTGTTGTGGTGCAGGCTGAACATTTTGACAAAGAATCGATGTCACCACTCCAAATCGACCGAACATCTCGATCTGCAGCAAATATGCAGAGGACTACTTTAAAATTTTAGTTTTTGTAGAGATTATGTAATTGACAATCTAAGCAGTAAATGAAAAATGAAGCCAGGCAAGTTTAAATAAAGAAACTACTATGTATAATTATAACGGGTGAAATTGATTTTCTTACATAAATACGTAAGTTATATAAAATTTAAACAGAAATAATTGTACTGACCTTTATTCTAGCTTGATGGTAAAGGTGACAAATAGAGAAGACAGAAAAAAAGCGAGGTTATCCTTCTCCATAAGTTACTCCCATAGATTATCCCAACCTTTTTGCTTTATGAAGTTTATATTGAAGTTGCTCCATTGTTTTTTTATGGTTATGAATCAAAATGTCATTGATACACTATAATCTCTTATCTATGTGTATGTTCCTATTTAATTTCTAATATGCTTCTAATTTATCTATTTTTCTAATGTATTATAGGAGTACTGAAATATTTAAAAATGATTGTTGTATTCAAGTCTTTTTCTAGAATTTTTAATGTTTCATCAAACTGTAAAGTTTCCCTTAGGTCATTGTGTTTAACAGAAGGAAGGGAAAAATTCTTTCTTGGAAGTTCAGTTTTATTGCATTTTAAGTACTACCGGCGAAGTCTTGCTACGATCCCTGATAAGGTACATATAAATGTTGGAACTATTGGGCATGTAGATCACGGTAAAACAACATTAACAGCAGCTATCACAAAAGTTTTAGCAAAAGATGGTTTATCAATTTACACCTCATATGACCAAATTGACAGGGCACCTGAAGAAAAGGCAAGAGGTAAAACAAATTTACTGTAACATTTCTACTATCATAAAGAGATAACATTTAATAGAATTGTAGGAATTACCATTAATGCTGCACATATTGGATATAGTACAAAGAAACGCCATTATGCTCATACAGACTGCCCAGGGCATGCTGATTATATTAAAAACATGATTTCGGGGGCTTCTCAAATGGATGGTACTATTTTAGTTGTTGCTGCTACAGATGGACAAATGCCACAAACCAGAGAACATCTTCTGCTTGCTAAACAAGTTGGTATAAAAAAGGTTATAGTTTTTATCAACAAAGCAGATGCTGTTGACAAAGAAGTAGGTACATCATTTATTAGTGTCACAAGTAGCATAAACGTATGTAGATATGTATTGTAGGTGCTTGAGTTAGTTGAGTTAGAAATAAGAGAACTCTTGACTGAATTCGGCTTTGATGGAGATAACACTCCAGTAATTTATGGGTCTGCTTTAAATGCACTACAAGATAAAAACACAGAGTTAGGGGAAAAATCAATAAGGAAATTATTAGAAATTATGGATGAATATATTCCAGAACCCCAAAGAGATCTTACTTCACCTTTTATGTTACCAATTGATAATGCATTTCTTTTACCTGGAAGAGGCACTGTAGTAGTTGGAACTGTTACTAGAGGAGTCTTAAAGAAAAATGACAGTGCCGAACTGTTAGGATTTGATATGCAAATTAAGACCACAATTAATGACATACAAGTCTTTAAAAAAAGTGTACTACAGGTACTGCACTAGATATTGTGTTTTTAACTAAAACAATTACCATATTTCATTTTCAGGCTGTTGCTGGTGAAAATGTTGGTATACTATTGAGGGGTGTTAAATTGAAATTAGTTGAGAGAGGAATGCTTCTTTGTGCCTTAGGCAGTGAAAAGCTTAGCAATAGATTTATTGCAAGTGTTTATTTCTTAACAAAAAGTGAAGGGGGACGATCAAAACCAATTCTTGGAAAATATATTCAACAGTTTTTTAGTAAAACTTGGAATGTTCCTTGCAGATTAGATTTAGGTAGTAATTTAAATTAGTTATACTATTTTTAAGCTAGCACGGCATGTGTTTGATATTCGATCAATTTATTATTGTATCAGAACAAAAAAAAACTATTCGATCGGCTGGGAATCGAACCCGGTCCGTCCACATGATAGGCAAGCATTAATTATAAATTTAAAAGAATTTTTTCTGTCTTAACTACAAAATACACAGTAGATTTTTATTTTGTGCACATTTATGGCACAGTACTTTCTGAAAGTTTTATTCCCCTCTTTATTTAATAGATGAAGAAATGCCAATGCTTTTACCTGGGGACCATGGCAAAGTCTACATAACTTTAATGTGGAAAATGGTGATGACTCCAGGTCAATCTTTTACAATAAGGGAGAATAATGTAACTGTGGCCACTGGAATAGTGACAGAAACGTTACCTAGTGTAGAAGTGTCTGGAAACCTAGGGAAACTCGTTTTATAGTAAGACTATTTTTTTTTTGTTAATAAAATATTTGATCATTAATAACTGCCTTTGTAAGATGCATGCATCCTTATATGACTTTTCTTTCAAGGAAGTATAAATTTGTTATGATTTTAAAAATCAAAAACAGAACAATTAAGTAAACTTTAAAGGTTTTTAAATTTATTATAATTTAAACTTTCACACTTTTCATTTAACAATTATAACTATCACTAATTAACAAAATTAAAGTTGTTTTTTAAGAAAGAACTAATATGAAACTTACTTCTATTAATACTCAGTAACTTCAGTTTAATATATCAAAAGTATTTTATTTTTTCTTGAAGGCTGTTTTTGAACGAGCCATCATATAGGCAAAGGCATTTATTTTTTCTGTACTTTTGCCATTATTGTCTGTATTCTTTATGGTAGCACATTTGTTATTTCCTAATGTGAGTAATTTAATTGTTTCATCTTTAGTCTTTTTCTGTTTATTTTCGATACTTTTCTTTTTATTAGTTGTACCTTTGATTACACCACAAAAGCTATGATTACTTGTTATATTCTCTTTGCTGCTAAACTCTTTCAAAACTTCTCCATTTATCTCATTTACAGAAATACTTAAATTATTATTACTACATCTTTCCATTTTATGTCTTTGGGTTTTATGGCATTCTTCTGTCTTGTCCTTTATTTTGTGATCATGGGTCAATTTTATGTTTTGTATTATTAAATCAATGTTTAAAGCAATGGACATATCCATCTGTTCATGGTTCTTAATTCTCTCAACAAATTTTTTAACCAAATTCAAAAGAATTCCCACCTGTTCAGCATTTAAATCTAAAAATAATTTGCAATACCTCATTGAAGTAGACTACTTTTCTGTTATTAACTTGCCTTCAGTGTTGCAATAGGACTGCAGAACTTGCAAGCAGTTTGTTGTAATAATTAAGAGGTGCTTTATGTTGTTTGTATACTCTTCAAAAAATGCTCGTTCCTTAATCATACATGTAAGGGTATCTAAAAGACAAATTAGTGCAATATAAGTAGACTGCTTGCTTGGAAGGTTGTCATGGAGTCTTCTTTTGAAGTGACACTAAAATATACTTATATTAGGTAAACTCTAAGACAATAAAAACCATTCGACTTGCCATAATTTTATAAAATGTGTCTTTTGTAACACATCCCAAAGTGTTAAACTTTTGAATTGGTATTTCAACTGCCTGCAGTATAATCATTGCTTGGTTCAGAGCGTCTTTGCAATGTTTTGAGTACTGCGAATTTAAAAAATTTATACCCACATCATTTGGCAACGTAATAGAATCTATATTATCCATAATAATTGATAATTATTACTTCTGAATACGAAAATAATATTTTGTGAGCAATATAAGGTTAGATATGATCTTTTTGAATGGAGGACTTAACTGGCGGGAATTTTTTGTGTCTCCATTACCAGTAGCTTGAAAGGTAATAATTATTTTGTCATTAAAGAACGCCTCAAATATTAGTTTTCTTTCTCCTTTTTAAATACTTCAAAATTTTATTTTGAAATCAGTTGTAGCAATGTACCGGCAAACGTATTTTTTAACATTATCGGATTATCGTTGTGTACGGTTATCAAATTTTAAATTACATATATCTATTATATAATATGTATTTATAAATTTGGTCAATTCACTGTTTTTATGAGACCGTTAACTAAAACAACTTTAAACAAGATTTAAAAGCATAAAATTTCATTTATCAGTTACTATATAATTATTATTAACTAACGTAGTAGAATTATTTCATTGAACATTTAGGTTAAGTTTGTGTTACATAGTAAAATTTTATTTCTTTTCTAAGAAATAATGAAACAAATAAACGCTAGTTAGTGATATTTAAGCCACCGTAAATTTACTAATTATTAATTTAATAATATAACATGAAAAACTTTACATCATTCCTTTTGTTGATATTATTCAATTATATACAGTGTGATGATAATAAGTTAGTTGTAAGTTCCTTATCTTTTATGAATTCAATAATTATTAATAAGTATACATTTTAGGTCGAGAACTTTTTCAAAAAGGGGCATACAAATAATTGGGCTGTGCTAGTTGATACATCAAGATTTTGGTTCAATTACCGACATATAGCCAATGTATTATCCATATATCACAGTGTTAAAAGACTGGGCATTCCAGATAGTCAGATCATTTTAATGTTAGCAGATGATATGGCATGTAATCCCAGAAATCCTAGACCAGCTACAGTTTTTAATAATGCAAACCAACACATAAATGTATATGGTGAAGATGTCGAAGTAGATTTTAGGGGCTATGAGGTATACATTTTCAGATTAGGTTTAAAGTTTGAGAATGATAAATAACATTTCTGAAAGGTTACAGTAGAGAATTTTGTGAGACTGCTAGTAGGACGGTTTCCTGAAGAATTTCCACAATCAAAAAAGCTAATGACTGATGAAGGAAGCAATATTTTAGTATATTTGACTGGACATGGTGGTGACGGGTTTTTAAAGTTCCAAGATTCTGAGGAGATAACTAATCAAGAATTGGCTGATGCATTTGAACAAATGTGGCAAAAGCGCAGGTAAAATGGAGGATAACTATTTGCGTGTGACACTAATTTTAGAATGGATAAAAGATGTGATAAAAATGCATTTATTTCAGATACAATGAAATCCTATTTATGATAGACACTTGTCAAGCAGCATCAATGTATGAAAGGTTTTATTCTCCAAATATATTTGCAATCGCAAGTAGCTTGGTAGGAGAGGATTCTTTATCTGTAAGTTATGGTATTTTTTGTATTTTTTCATGTGTCCTACATTTTGTTTTATTCTTTTCCAGCATCATGTAGACTCTTCTATAGGGGTGTATATTATTGATAGATATACTTACTATGTTCTTGATTTTCTTGAAAAAATTCATATGGATAGTAAAAACACTTTAGCAGAATTTGTAAGTGTAAAGACACTTTTACTCTTCTCATTATTTGTTTAATATCATTGAAAATTTGTTTTAGTTGAAAATCTGCCCCAAAAAGCAGTGCATCTCTACTGTTGGTCATCGTTCAGATCTGTTTAGAAGGGATATCAGTAAAGTTCCTGTTACAGATTTTTTTGGTTCTGTCAGACCCATTAGTCTACTTTGGGATACTTTCAATGGAACCATTAGTATCATAAAAGAAAAGAAACTAAAAATAGAAAAGTTAAAAACTGCAAAAAAGTATTATTATGTTCCATCCCTAGATTCATTTTAATTAAATGAATTGTGATTTTTGTTTATATTAAATAAAGTATTAATCGCTATTTCTTGCTTAATTAACAAAATTCGGCTGTTACATTCCTAACTACCTAAAATTTGGGATATTCTAAAGACTATAGATTTAGGAGCAGTGGGGTGTATTGTATTTATATGTATTATCATGCTTCATCAATCATGCACCATTGAAAGCTTAAACCTTTATTAGTCTTAAACCAGAGTTTTATTTTCCTTCAAAAACATGGTAATTTAGTTGATAATATGAATAGAATTAACTAAACACAACACCGCAACTTCAATTGTTTTGGGCCCTAAGTAGTAACTAGTTTCTAGTAGCTATTGCGCTGCTCTTTAAATTTATATTTACTAGAGGGTTTACTATTTGAAAATTAACAACGAAGAATAAACGAGAAAAAATGCAGTAAATTAAACGTTCAAAGAGAATGAATTCAAAAAATTTAGTTTGCTTTTTCTACTACTACATCATCGTATTTATTAATGGAGGGTGTGTTTTGTGGCGTAAAAGCAATTGTTTATAAAATAGCAATAATGACAAAAACAAAAACAAAACGCAGTAAATTAAGTACCGAGTATTCAAACAAATTGACTTTAAAAAGAGGTGGGACTAAAAATCATAGTATTATTTTATTACGTACTAGAAAATTCGATTTCGCAGCGCATTAGAGCGCAAGTTTGCGAAAAAATATTTGTTTCGCGAACCAATAATATTGCGTAGTATTTAAAAATTACACTTCGTGAAGTGCGCGCGGTAATAATTTATTTCGTTTAAACAATTTATTTATTTGTAATCAAAATATCCGCGCAGTTTGTTTATGATAATAGTCTATATATTAAAGCCATTCTATCAACAATATACCTCAATCTAGTCAAAATTGTTCACAGTGGTCAATTAAATTAAATTAAATTAAATCAATTACTCTTTCTATTGGATCATAAAAGTGATTAACGAAATAATAAGAATAAGTGATATACCTCTTTTAAATAATTACTGAGAAGATTATAATTCTGATTTCTTTTAAATAATAAATTCAATGAGTAAAAACGTGAGGAATTATCAGCGCTGTTTGTGTATCAGGTATGCATTTCTTTCTAATATTGATTTATAATTAAACAATTATTGCTTCTAAAAAAAATTAATGAATAACGTAATAATTTTTTATTAATGGACTGAAATAAACGGTTATAAATAGTAACGAATGAAATACTCCTAGAAGACGTGACGTAACTCATGTCAAATTCAAATACAACAATACGTAAGTGATTAATTAAGTAATAAACAGTGAAATGATGAGATGCGTATTTGTTATTAAAATTATCAAATATTTTTACATAATATGTTAATTTATAGTAACAATTTTACATGTTAGTAATATTTGTATAAGGTTAACAAGTACGGACAGACTACATACAAAAGAAAATGTTTTTTAATACATAGCCAAGTCATAATCATAATTATTTGGTAAGTTAAAAAATAAATTTTAGTGAGTGTAAGTCATAGGTAATTTTGTCATATTTTATGTATAATATTTTAAAAATAATCTAAAAAAACAATGCCTACAAAGTCAAACAAATGTCAGCTGATTGCTGACGTTAGAATGTTAGAAACCTACCTTATTAATATGATTAATATGTCGACAATATAAAAGTATACAAAATTCGTGAAATCATAATTACCAATGTCTTGAATATAAGGTGACTAATTCGGTAAGCACTTAACATTTATAAACAACTACTTACTACCTAATTAGCTACCAATAATAGTTATAGCATTAGAAACACATTAGAGATAATGTTAAGAAATTTACTATTTTTTATTTTACCATATTGTAATAAAAATAAGCAGTATGAGTATAGTTAGAAAGTAAAATTGTATAATTTTTCTTACAGAAATGTACACTCAAGTAGTTCCAATACTGTGGACCCTCCTAAAATGCAATCAACAAAGTATTTGACTGTACCCCAGTGGAAAATGCTAAATCAATTTAGAGAATACTTACTGAAACTTTCTTCTGACAAGTCTCTTCAGAACTCAGTAAGGAAAGACTTTGCACAATTTCTTCAAAAAATCCAACCATCAGTTTACGGTAGCAATTTGGTAAGACATGTTGACACATCAGCTGCAGCAACCAATGAAACACAAGAAAAGAAAGGGGAAAACAAGGGGATAATTGCTTTTCCAAATGTTCTTAATGGTCTAATAAACAAAAAACCTGCTACTGAAGTTGAGCGTCCAAAAGAAATTTTACCAAAGTGGAAAACTACCACAAAGACAGTATCAAAAACTGCTATCATGTCTAGAACTAGGCATATTATATATTCCATAGCAAATGCTGAAACTGAAAAATCAAAACTTAAACGAATTGATGATCTTTCAGATCATATAAAAATGTATCCTGAAGCAAAAAATCATGCTGTAAAAGAAGGTGCTGTTAGATTATTAATTAGAATACAGGAAGAGACGCAAAACTTTGATATAAGGAGTTCAATTCGAGAAGCCTTTGCTTTATTAGGATATTGTGAACCCTTGCCTGGAAGAGGAATCAGAATACTTTCCATTGATGGTGGGGGTATAAGGGGACTGTTGGTGTTAGAAATGCTTAAAAAATTGGAAGAGTTGACTGGGAAACGTATTCATGAATTGTTTGACTTTATGTGTGGAGTTAGTACAGGGGCTATAGTTGCCTTTTCATTAGGTAAGAATGACCAAACCTGCGCTTAAGGGAATAAGTAATTTTTTAATCTTGAAATCTAGATTTTATTATTTATTACCAGTTGTTTAAAAATGTAATTACACAGTAAACCCTACAGAGGTAAACACAGTTACCTGTGTATAAGACCAGCCAATCTCAATATTTAACTTATTTAAATTCTGTTTATGATAGATTAATAATAAAATTGCAGCTTTTCCACTTTTCCCTTTTTACTTCTTTTTTTATAATCTACTAGTTTTTGAATAATTAAACCAATTTTTGAATTGTTAATGAATGTATACTAATAATAATTAATAATTGGTAGGAAAAATGGGAAATAATAATTAGTAAGAAAAATATCTTAAAATTAATTGTATAATATTCAAGCAAAATGACTTTAAAAATGTAAAAATGAGTAACTAGTAACTCTTCTTTTTCTGCATTTTTTCTTGTTTTTTAACCTTCACTATTGAATTGTTGAACTCATGTTTAAAATTTCTCTGGTAGCAATTATATGTTATTAGAAATAAACATGAAAAAATAGATATTATTAAAAAGTTGGATAATGCTATTAGCTGATTATATAATTTTTATTAAGACAGGACTAACATAGGTTCACTGTTATTTTGGGATTGCTTGGATAACGTCCAATGAGTATTTGCCAATTAAATTCTGTAGTTTTTCCATTAGTCATTTATAGAATTTAAATACTTTTATTAGTATTAATAATCTTTTATTTCTGTTTTCTTTTATTTTTTTATACCTATTAAAAAGTTAAAAAAAATTATTCAGGTATACACCTTAGGGACTTAGACACAATAGCAAAACATTATAAGGAACTAAGTCTTAAAGTATTCACGCAATCCACACTTCGAGGGACTAGCAACTTAGTTTGGAGTCATGCCTATTATGATACAGCCTTATGGGAAACTTTGCTTAAAGAATATTTAGGGGAAGCCCCTTTGATTTCAACTGCCAGGATTTTAGAATGTCCAAAAGTATGTTAAATTAAAATGTGTATGTTTCCTGTAAAAATGTTAAAGTAAATGTATTCTTTTTTAATTAGTTAGCAGCCATTTCTGCAGTTGTAAATCACTCGAAAGTATCAGCATACATATTTAGGAATTATTCGTTTCCATGGCGGGTACAATCAAACTATATGGGGGGTTTTCATCATAAAGTATGGGAAGCAGTAAGAGCATCTGCTGCCGCACCAACTTATTTTGAGGAATTTAGACTAGGTCATTTGCTACATCAGGCAAGAGAAAACAAAAAATTTTGCTTTTTGTAATGTTTGAATGTGTTACGTTTATCTTTAGGATGGTGGAATTTTAGTAAACAATCCAACAGCTGTAGCTATACATGAAGCTAAGCAGTTATGGCCAAACACTCCTATACAATGCGTAGTATCCTTTGGGACAGGAAGGACAATTCCTGTACATCCTGAAGCACTTCCTGAAGACGACGCTAAAAATTCGTCCTGGACAAATAAGTTTATGAAAATTTTAGATAGTGCAACGGACACCGAAGGTAAGCATTTTTTGTTTGTACTTTTGTATTATTATTATTTTAGAATGCGATACTGAACAAGAAAAAGTGAACTCTTATAAAATCACTAACATGCTTTCCTTCTATTACAGCGGTTTTTCTTAGAAAATATACAACACAGAAATTTAAAATTTTGCATAGTAATTCACGAAATTAACCCACATATTTTACATTAATGTACAATTATATCAGTCTATGGTACTGTAATCACTAATGATATACATTTCTAAATAGTTAATTCCAATTTTACAATAGTATTCATGAAAATTTAAGAGGATATGCATTCCAGTTTTTTATATTGATTCTCTAATTTTCAAATCGTTGACATCAGGTTTGCTTATTCAAGGTCGCCTTTAATGTAATGTTAATGTATTTCTTTTATTTTAGGAGTTCATACGATGTTAAACGACCTCTTGTCAGGGGATGTATATTATCGTTTTAATCCTTACCTCACAGAAATGTTAAGCATGGTCGAAACTGATCCACACAAAATTGAGCAACTCGAAATGGACGCACTAATGTATTTAAGGCGAAATGAAGACAAATTTCAGAGTGCTGCTAAGGCTCTAACAGACCCAAAGCCTGTTGCTCAAAAGGCGGTCGATTGGTTAAGTCGAAAGAAAAATTTAATTGGTTTTTCAACCAAATATGTATGAAACGAAAATCGAAATACCCATTTCGAAAATTAAAGAATAAACTCAAATAGTTGTACGTATTTAATCCAAATTTTTATTTATAACTGCTTTAAGATCTGTTTGTTCCCTCGAGTTTAATTTTTTGTTTTTAATTATCAAGTTGATATTCAGGCTGATGAAATATATATAAAAAAACGCTCAGGTCTTTTACCGTTTTATAATTACTTATTTGAGTGATAGAAATAGTGACTGTGATTATGTCTTTTTTATTAGATTTTACTTAAATGTCTTTTTTGTTATTTTTTTATATTTCTAACTAGTCTGTATATATGATCGCAATCGCACCGAGTAAATTATTAATTTTTTATCCGACACAAAGAATCATAATACACGTAGATGATTAGTTCATTTTTTATATGCTAGATATAAGAAATACTTCTGTGTTACCTAAAATATAAAGTATAAATAATACCTTTTAAATATATATGTCTGAGAATAATTTTTATGCATATACATATTCCCGATTATCTTTAAAGTAAAACAACTAACTTTCCTACTCTAATATGTATTATCATCAGTATAAAAATATTTGTAAAGTGTAGTTTAAAATAATTATATTACAGTAATAACTTAACATTTAAAAGCAGAAATGTGATGTGACAGTGATCTTTTCAGTTTCTGTTTACCGTTCTTGTTATTGCAGAAACTCCATCTACGAATTTGGTTTTAAAGAGTACGTTGGCGTTGTTGAACATTCCATCTTTTAATGAAACAATAATAAACTGAAAAAGGTAAGTAAAATTTTAGATAGTTTTTAATTAGTAGTAGTTTTTGGTGCAAGAAAGTTGTTCTAATGCCTACATTCTAGCTTAACGTAAATTTATCAATTACACATGAAATAGAGTTTCGTTTGATGTAAGATATAATTAGAAACCAATGAGTTATTTGACTTCGAAATCGCCCATTTATTCTATCTATCATTCTCTGATCAACATTTTACAGTATTTTTTAATTTTTTTTACCTGTGACTGTTTGAAATGAGTCTTGAGCATGTGACCAATATTTTGAGTATGGGAAAGGTCCAACGCGGCATCTACTTCATCTAAAATGTACAGGGGGGCGGGTTTGAAAAGTAACATAGCTAAAATTAATGAAAGTGCAACAAGAGATCTTTGGCCACCACTTAATTCGCTTAAACTTTCTTTCCAAACACCTCCTAAACTCACTTTTACCTGAAAAATAGGAAAATGAAATGAAAAAGTTATTTTATTATATAAATAAATAATTACTTCCAATCCGTCTAATACCGATTGGCCTCTTGGAGGCTGCAATTTGGCGTTGCTACCAGGCAAAAGTGTCCCGAAAATTGAGCCGAAGTCCTTGCTCACTTGTTCCCAGGCCAGCATAAGTGCATCTTTCTTCTTTTTGTCTAAATCTTGCATTACCAAAACAATTCTTCTTTTATCAATTTCCACAATATTTTTCTTCTTTACAAGTAAGTTGAACTGTAACAAGGGAATAGAATAAATTAAATTGGCATCATTAAAAGTCCTTTTTATTTTTGATTTACTTGTTTTTCTTCATGTTCAAAAAGACTTTGTGCTTTTGCATTTACTGTGCGCCCTAACTTGCCCCTTTTATCTTGATAGCTTCTTATTTTCCTTTCCAATTCATCTGCTTCTTTATCTGTGAGGCTTTCAGCTTCTTTAAGATTTCCACAGTTTGTTTTTACCTTCTTTGAAATATCTTCTTCCTGAAATAATGCATTATATGATTTGAAATAAATAAAAAAAAATTTTTTTTAAAAACCTTGTTTTTCTTGGTCAGGCCGGAAACTTATCAATCCACCCTCGTATATCCGATTGATGCCAAAGGCATCCTCTAATATGGGAAAAANTCATCTGCTTCTTTATCTGTGAGGCTTTCAGCTTCTTTAAGATTTCCACAGTTTGTTTTTACCTTCTTTGAAATATCTTCTTCCTGAAATAATGCATTATATGATTTGAAATAAATAAAAAAAAATTTTTTTTAAAGTTCATACCCTTGCTTTAGCCATTGCATATTCATCTTTTAGTTTCTTCAGTTCATGTTGCATTTTTTTTATTTCCAATTCAAGTTCAGTGTTTTGGGCAAGTAAAGCTTCCTTTTTTGAATTCTTTTTATGGATTTCTTTATTTCTTTCCACCATAGCGCTCTTTTCTGCTTTGTATTCTTGCTGACATTTAGTAACAGTTTCCTTAGAAAAAAAAAAAAGAAAAATGAAAGGAAAGTAATACAATTATGAATCAGTTGCTGTTCAAGTACCTTTAAACTGCGTGATTTTTTTTGGGCTTCTTCGTAGTCACTCTTAAGTTGGTTTAAACGCTCTTCAGCCGTTTGAAGTTGTTGCTGAACACTTTCCAAACTTTTCTTTAATTCTGTTATTTCGACGTTGAGTGTCTCATATTCTTGTTCCCTCAGTTTCCAATTTTTTCGACTATTATCCGCTTTCTTTTTTAAAGTGTTCATCTCTTTTTCTGCTTCCTTGAGAACTCTTTCTTTATGTCCTTTGGAATCTTTAAGTTTGTTTTCAATTTCCTTGACCTTATGTAAGGCTTTTGCTTCTATTTCTTTGTACTGCTTTATTGTTTCCTTCATTTCACCTAAAGTTTATTACGTTTTGACGTTTTAATACATAATAAGTCTTACTGGAAATGTTAAACACATTTATTTTTAAAAAGCTTACCAATCTTATTTTGTAATTCGTTTATTTCAACCTGCTGTTGATGATGGGCTGTTTGCTGAAACCTTTGTTGAACAACACCCAATTCATGCTGTCTTAATTCTAGTTGTTGGGATAGTGTTGCAAACTGTTCTTGGAATATCAGCATTTTCTTTACTTCGTTTTCAATCTTCATTAGTTCGTTTTCTTTGCATTTTAAAGAAGCCTAAAAACGTTAAAAAATAATACAAAGGTTTTTACATAAAATTATACTTTTTCACCTCAATTTCTTTTATTCCTTGAAGTTGTAATAGTACAGAAGGCCCTTTCTGTCGTGCTCCACCACTCAACGTGCCTCCTGGATCTGTAACGTCTCCCTCCAATGTAACACACCGGCGTCGTATTCTATCGTTGAAAGTTATTTTTCTGGCCGTATCGAGGTCCTTACAAACGAATACGTTTCCGAACACATACTCCATAGCAGGTTGTAATTCTTTATCATATGTTACCAGTGATAAAGCGGTTTGAACGTTGTCTTTTCCAACCTGTATAAATACTTTTTTACATTAAAAAAATAGTACTGTTGGTGGTCAACAATCGACCGATAGTCACTTTATTTTAAAGAAAAGGAATCAAACTACAGCATTCTCTTTTTAATTAACGTAGAATGCGGTGACCTTTAATTTGATATATGGTACATACACCTGTGACCTATGTAAGATTACTTCCGAATTGCTATTAAATATTTGTATAATTTATGTATTTAAGCCAGATTACAACTTATAGATGTAGACAAAACTACATGTACATAGGATTGATTTTTTAACATTTACTTCATAAAATCTTACCAATTTTTGGGCATATTGAACAGTTGCATTATCGATTTGACCGCCTTGAATTTTATTTAATGGAATGAAAGTGGTTCTGTTTTGTAAATTTCCTTTTTGTAATAGTTTTTTACCAGTAACATCGTTGGTAACAACGACATTATACAACTACAAAGAAATTGAAGAATCTTAAATGATGAAATGAATATTTACCATTTACATATATAAAAAATGTTTAAATAATTTAAACTCATTGTATTAAAAAAAATTACCTTCCCCCCTGCTGCAGTTTCTATTGCAGTAGCTGTTGCATTATCTTTTAAGTTGATTAAACGACAAACTACTCCTTTAACGTTACTCCGATTGAAATTTGGTTCCGGGTCTGTATAATTAATGGTGGCATACGGATTTTGGGCTTCAAATCTTTCTATCTTTTCTCCCATCCTACGAACTTCGTGAATTAAATTTTTTCGAGATGTCTGGCATTCTTGTAATTTTTCTTCTGAAAATTTTAATTTCTCTAGTGAATTTTCCAAAGACCGAACTTCTTTTTGCATTTTCTCCAACGTAATTTTATCACGTTCATATTCGGCTACATTAGAAATTCTTGTTTTAGTTTTTTCCTTAAAAAAACAACTTAAGATAAATCATTGTGTTAATATTAATTTTTGAATTACATACTTGAATCACTTCTTGAAAGTGTTTCAATTGCATATTTGTCTCCTTAATTTTAACACTAGCTTCAGTTGCTTCTTGTTTGGCATTCATTAGTTGTTCCTGCAGTGTCTCTGCTTCACCTGATTCATTTACTTCCATTCCTGCACAAATTGCTTCATATTTTCTCTGAGACAATGCAAATGCCTCATTGTCTTCTACATCATCATTTTTCAATTTTTCAAACAGTGATTGTACTTGTGAGAGTTCTTTTTCTTTTGTATTGAGTGCAGATTCATCATCTTTGAGATTCTGTAATAAGTAATAAGCTACAAAAAATCTGTACTTGTATAAAAAGTTAAAGTGTACCTTTTGAAGCTGTTTAATGTTTTTTTCTTCAGTTGTTATGTTATCTTTCAATGATTTTTCTGCAGCATTTGCTTTGGCCTCCTCCTTCTCTTTTGCTCTTAGTTCTACTTCTAACTCTTGCAGTTTTGAATCAGCTTTCTATAAAAGTAATGTTATCTGCTAATCATTGCTTGTATGTTAACTTACATCTTTTAATAGTTTTGTCATATCTTCAATCTCCTTTTCCAAATCTTTAACAATGGCGACATTATTTTTTATTTCATCCTGCATTTTATGTAGTTTAGATTGTTCCTTTTCAAGAGCTTGTTGCGAGTTAATAGAAGCCCTTTGTGTTGCAAAATACTGAAAACCAAGATATAGTGCATTCATATGTTCCAATTCTCGTTCTATTCGCTGATATTCCAAATAGACTTTTCTTTCTTCTTTAAGTTTTTCTAACTTTGGGCCGATTTCCTTAGCCATTAATTCAGTCAATTGTAATAACTTAGCATCCTTTTTCTCGAGTAATTTTTTTGCAACTTGACGCTTATTTTCGTACATTCTTGTGCCAGCTGCTTCCTCAACCATTGACAGTATCTTTAAAATAGATCAATGCTCATTATTAGATTATTCAATCATTAATATATGGTTACCTCTGGGGGCTTCATATTTAGTACTTTTGTAATTCTTCCCTGCATAATAAGAAAATGTGGATTATTAACGTTTAATTGTACAGAACAGAACAGATCTTGAACTCTTTTATTGTGAACATTTGTTCCATTTATCATGTATCTATTTTTACCACCCATTACAACTTGTCTTGTTACAGTAATCTCATTAAAGTTTTCAAAGCCTGGCGGGCTTTGATTTTGATTTCTGTTATCAAATGTAATTGATACTGTTGCTTTATTAACACCTGCTTGACCATTTTTGTAAATCAAATCTTGTAATGAACAAGCTCTAACCTGTAAAAACAATGATGAATATTTACCATTTTGATAGGCGAATTGTACTAAAATACCTGACTCAAATTTGAGATTCCCAGTACAAAACATATTGCATCAAGTACATTTGATTTACCAGTGCCATTTAAGCCAGTTATAGCATTAAATTGTTGGTCAAAGTCGTGAATTTCTGTTCTTTGGCCGTAAGACTTAAATCCATCCAATACAATTGATTTAATGTACATGATAATTATCAGATCAATTAACTGAGCAAAATCACTGCGAAATTCGAAAGGAAAACATGAAATATTGTTAAAAAATTACGATATAACAACCCCGAACTGCCAACGGATTTTAGGATTTTAAATTGTGTTAATCGGTCTATGAAATCTGTAAACAGTGGTAAATAGCATAGATCTAAGGTAAACAGCTAAACTTTCACCATAGAGAAAACCACCACCGTATCGTTTGTTTTCTCAGTCGTGTGAACTGGCACCCGATATAAATAATTCATTGATCTAAACTTTACCACTAGAATGCGTGTGGTTTGCGGGTTTTAGATATTTATGAATCATATTGTGTATCCATTACTTTTGTAAAAAAAAGGAAAATTGTTTCGGGTGCAGATGAAAATTCAATGTCGATTTATTTAAAAGCTACTTCATCTGCACCCGAAACAATTTTCCTCTTTTTTAACAAAACTAAGGAACCCACAATTGCGCTATTTACATATTTAGGACCCGCAAACGACGCACAATTTATTAGTAAAATTTAAATTATTGTTTTTTGCCGTTGTCACCAGATGGTTATCAGTCACCACCACTGACAGTTTTAATAGTTTTGTCATCTTTAATAAATAACTTTCAAAGTAGACAAAAAGAAAATGTTAGGTAAAGAATTGCTTTTAGTCCCGTTATTATTACCGATTTTTATTAATTCAATTATTGCTACGAATGAAAGCAATGAAGAAATTGAAATACATCGGTTGTATACAATTGAAGGAAAGGTGTACCCTCCGGATGTCTTGTTTAGTCGTCCAAATTGGCAAGCCAATACACGAATAATTGTTAATGGAGGGGAATATATTGGTAATTATTTGTTTTTTTTATCATCAATGTTAGGCTATTTGTTAATCATGTGTGTAGGTTTTGTTAAAGAAGATGGAAGCTTTGTCATTCATAATATTCCTTCTGGTTCATACATTTTGGAAGTTTTAAATTCTGAATACACTTATGAACCTGTCAGGGTAGAAATAAACACAAAGGGAAAATTCCGTGCTAGAAAAGTTAATCATGTTCAGACATCTTTAGTGATTCAACTACCATATCCATTGAAATTGAAGCCAATTGGAAGAACAAAATATTTTCAAATAAGAGAACAATGGAGAATAACCGATTTCTTATTTAGTCCAATGGTATTGATGATGGTTTTGCCTCTTGTGTTTCTTATGGTTTTGCCCAAAATGTTGAATGACCCAGAAACTAGGAAAGAACTTGAACAAGTGCAAAGTTTAACTAAGTTTGAAATGCCTGAAATGACGGATCTGGTATCAAACTTTTTGGCTGGACAGGGTCAACATCAAACAAAAAAAACCAGTAAAAGTAGTAAAAAAAGGCAGTAGTTGCTATATTTATTCTTGTGAGCTATTAAGGGTATTTTTTTTCTTGTAAAGTGTATTATACATTATTTTTATTTAAATACGTTTTTGTTACTTCATCGTTTAATAAAATGTCGTTTTCAAATGCTTTGCTGTTATATTTTTTTTAATTTTTGGGGTTAATTTATTAGTGGTTAAGTTTTAATCGTTTTAGGCCATAGATTAAAGAAATATAGACATAGGTCATAGAATTAAATTTTAGTATCCACCTATGTTCATTTATTCGTACTTACTGACTATTGATAAACTTGGCGAAGTGCTGTCGTGCATTTTCGTTAATTTTCGGATTTATTTCTGTTCTCTCATTCGGCATTTTCCCAGTAGTACTGCAATAGTAGTGCTGTAGTTCAATTGAGCCGTGCATCTGAATTTGGTAGTTTGTGTGATTATTGTACGTTACGAACGTGTACGAGTTGGGTTGCCGTGGTTTCGTGTTATGTGAATTTGATTGTTAAAAAACAACCTGTTAAGCGTTCGCGACTGTGAACGAAATGATAGTAGTGATAAGAAATACTGATAAAGTGATAACGGTACTATAAAAGGCTGTGAATTTTCTAACACAAGTTTACATGGAATGTATATAAACAAACCCACCTTCACGCGGGAGTTGATTACAATAATATCACAGGTAGGAAATCATGTATACTTCTAGGGCGTTAACCGCATAGGTGTTTGGTTTGTAGGTAAATTTTTCAGTGGATAACATAAAACGTGTTTTTTGTTGAATAGTTGTTGTTACCGAACTATCCAAATTAAACAATTTATATCATGTTTTTTAATTGTGAAAAATAAGGCGTTGGTTATCTGACTAATTAGCAGGTATTGGAAGGAGTTGACTATGTGTATTGTGTTATTTAACCTACTGAATTAATGTGTGAGTCATGAAATTGTAATAGTTTTTTAAATCGAGTAACTGCGTTATACTTATCTTCAATCTTATTATTAAGGTTTTTTTTATTTATTTTATTACAAGCAGGTAATTGAATGGGTAATTTAGGTCAGGGATTGGACCTGCCGTGGTTGTGGTTAGTTCATTATTCCTTTATTTTTATTATTAAACAGTTAATGCTTTAAAAAGAGTAGATACTTTTTATTATTTTTATAATACATTAACAATTTAAGATGTCAAAATTAAAATACAGGAAAATTTTATTTTTAATAATTTCAAAATTAATTGAATACTGTTTATTATTAAGTAATTTTTATTAATGTCGTATGTTAGTGCTCTAGCACACGCCAGGTTTCAAAAATAAACAGCTGTAGACGCACTCGTTTGTACCTCCTTATTCATTCGATATTCACCCCAAATTATACAAGCTCACCCTCGAAAATCTTATTCGAGTATTGCACAGGAGTCGTGTGTTCTATTATATGCACTCTCAGCCTTCTTCCTGCGTTTTGCTTTTGTTGTGTGGGTCAGTAGAGCCGAAAATGTAATTATTGGTCTGGTAAGAGCAGATGCAATAGCTAAATGGCACAGGAACTCTTAATTCCGTTATTTGTTTTATTTAATTGTATTCTATCCGGATTTTTGGGTTTACGTGTACACTTCTTCACACTCAAATTATTAAAAGGGAAAACTTACAAAAGCTACCTGCATCCTTCGGGGAATCACTTCACCACCTACTTCGTTTAATGTAATAAACATATCAGACAGACCATGGTAACCACAATGTGGGAAGCACTTCATTTTTATTATACTTATACGACCTGTTCCCGCTTCATCTCCCGCTTAATATTTTTTATCAGTTTATGAACTTCACATATAGATACATAAGTAATATAAGTACAATAAATTTTAAGACGAGAGTTGCGTTTTGTTCAAAAAATCTAGAGAAGCAGGTGATATTTTCATATAAACATGTTTGAAAAGACATGTTCACCTAATTAAACATTTTTGCTTGTGCGACATAAAATGAAAAAAAGACAAGGAAATGTGTAATTTGTATGTTCGGTAAACGTTATGCTATGTCTGTATATCTCTTACCATCAAGGCAACGTTCGTAGGAAACGCATTCTTTGACCGTTTTTGTCGTCTACATACCTTACAAAATTGTCCCCCACGAAAATCTTTTTTATTTTAACGAAATAATAAATAATCTATGTTTACCCTTAAGATCTATTCTATGTATTGGTGAAAGAATTTTAGGAATCGAATGAGTAGTTTTGGAGAACGTCCATTACTCGTTAATACATTTGTAAATTATTTAAAATATTTGTCGTAAAAGGAAGTTGGAATTAACTTATCCACCTGGTCGAAAAAATGACGTTTTTCGGTGTTTTTCATCTTTTACAAGACTGAAACGTGATGAAAAGTGGGCTATTTTTGTCATTGTCCAGGAATATTGAAATAATACCTGGTCGAAAGCCAAAATATATTTCCGCATTATTTATTAGTTTTGGTAGAAGTAAATATATTGAAATAAAATTTTACTTCAAAATATTTGCTTTACTATTTTCCTTTATTTAGTACAGTTAGATATAAACTTTTTTTTTTTAAATTTTGGTATAAATAAATTGAATTATAATTTTCAGAGAATATATGTTTTTATT